GAGGGAGAGAACACAGTCAGTCTAACTGCCTAGTTATGCTCAAATACTGAGCACAGAGCTACAAATCAATCATTTTGAAACCATTTGTGATGTTTCTTTCATTAAGTGCATTTAGTCAGCTGAAAATGTGTGTATTTTCTTGCCTTCCTAAGATTTCAGTAGATAACAGAAGTATTTCAGAGCTAAGTAGAGACAATTTGAAGTGTGTTTGGCAAAATTCTCTTAAATGAATTCCTGTCAGATAGACCTCTTTAAAGATTATAATTGTGTGATAAAATTAAGTGGAACAGGTTTTACACTCTTGGCAAAATTCTCTTAAATGAATTCTTGTCAGATCATGCTCTTTAAAGATTAAAATTGTGTGGAAAATTTCAGCTTAACAGGTGTGATGTGGGCTTCTGTGCAAGCCTGTTGGCCTACTGGTGATGAAGACACCTTGTACAGGGATTCAGGACCTGAAACACACAAATGTGTTTTGCTTTCTGTTCCTGGATTGTTAAATAATATCTGGCAGATTACTAGCCCCCTCTGACTTCTAAGCTTCTATTGCATCATCTCCACAAGATAATGATGATTCTGCTGTCCTTTTCACTCAAAAATGATGCACAGTCTTCCATCAAATAAGGTGCTTTCACTGTGAGGAGAAGATACAGCTCAGCATTCAGATCTAAAAAGAGGACACAGGAAAGGCCCAGATGATTGTGGTGGTCATTGTAGCCACAGAAGCCTCCCAGAAGATCCCCTCTCTGTCTTCAACCAATCTACAGTTCTAGAGTTACAAGCTCAAACAGCCTTCAGGCCAACCAGACATGGCCTTCTAGTTTGGCTCAAGTAACTATAATAGTGGCCTCCCTTTTTATATAATAGTGGCCTCCATTTTCACAAGCTGAAATTCCTGATGTATCCATTGGAATGGTTTTCTCTGTTGTAGGAAGCATTCCAGCTTTTTTGTTAAAAGTAAATGTGTCCTTGGAAGACAATGTTTAAAAAAAAAAAAACAAAGAAGCACAAAGCATGATTCAGCCACATCATGAGCGTTTTGGTATCTATTGAATAGATCTCCAACCTTATTCAGTTCATACAGATACAAAATTTTCTTTTTTACTGCCATCAAGTACAATTTTGTAACAGATTCTTTTAATCAGCTGCATTTCACAGCTAAAAATAAGCCATACCAAACATTTTTCTATGGTATGAAGTATTTTCTGCTATATAATTTCTAATGAATGCGTCGTTTTCCATGGTGCAGATACACCATTATTTATTAAATTAGAGGGTTTCGAAGGAAAATCTGTGCAAAGCAACAAAAGCCATCCCTTAAGGTCATTCTAATACATAAAAACCATCCACCAAGCTCTTTGACACACACGGATCCTCGAAGGAATGATGTTTTGTGTGAAATGGTTATAGCTGTCAATCATTTATTCTCGATGTCATGGTTCCTGTGCTCGCTCCAGGTTGTTAGGGGGTGATTATGGATTCCTGTCAAATGAGATGTCTGCGATGGATTCAACATGAGGCAGTTTGTATTTTTCTCAGTCTATTGCTCGCCCGTCGGAGGAGGTTAAGCAAATTTCAGTGAGCTAAAGGGAAATGGCCCAGGCATCCAGTGCTGGAAGCAGACCGCAAACTTGCCCCGGGCCCAGAGATCACCACACAAGCAGATGAGACTTCTACATAAATACATTTTGTCTCAATTGTCACATTCCACCCTGGGTTATACCTACATGCATTAAAAATGGCTCCAAGCCTGTTTTTCAAAGCTCTTCGCTTTTCAACTACCTAACTCAGAGGCTCTGTGTGTGTGTGTGTGTGTGTGTGTGTGTGTGGATGTGTGTGTGTGTTTTACAGCCATCAAAGATGATGAAGAGACTAGGAGAGTTGATATAGAAAGGCAGATTAAGAAACCTAAATATTTACAACTTGACTGAGTGACAGTCAGGGGGAAGATATTATAACTGTCTGCCGGGCTCAAATTATGGAGGACACATTGTTTTGCTTTTCCCAGTAACTCGATTTTAGGGATATCTAAATTCAGAGAAAGTTTTCCAAGGATGACATCACTTATGGTAATGAGATAATTGTGGCAGTTAAGAATTGCATTTTGTTGCTTGTGGCACAAATGTGAAATAGCAGTGGCTTCAATATAGGATTTTATTTTCTCTCCAATGACAAGAAAGCCCAGAAGCTGTTGTCTGGGGCTGCATTGCAGTTCCATTATATCATTAGTGCACATGCCCTCCCGTCCTTCGCCTCCATCACTCTCAGCACTGACTTTCATGCTCAAGGTCACCTAATGTTTAAAGAAGAGCTGCTGCAGTGTCATGCTCCCTCACTGCATTCTGGAAAGCGGGAAAGCAAAGGAGATTCCTGTCCACTGACAGTGAAAGCATTTTCTGGAGATGTGGTTATGTATATGATGGAGTACTACTCAGCTACTGGGAAAAAGAGCATCTCTTGCCATTTGTGACAACATGATGGACCTGGAGGGGGTTCTGCTAAGTGACATCCATTGGAAGAAAAATAAGCACTAGATGATTTCACTCAGCACAATAGAGAGAAGCTAAACTCAGGTACTGAGCAAAGAAACCAATACAAACCGTAGGAGTTTGCAGAATGGAGGCTTCTAAGGGTGAAGCTATGGGGGTGGGGGGTTGGGAACAGAGGTGGGAGATCACCCAGTGGCCTATGGTAAGGTCTAGGGGTCCTTTGATGGTGGGTGTGGGGTTGTGACACACATCTTTGTGCAGTGTTATAAACCTTGATTTAAAATTAAAAGCTTGGAAGCCCATGTATGGGTTCCAGTTCACACCTCTTTGACATCTGCATCTGCAAGAGGTGGTGGGAAATTGGGTGTGTTCATATGTTTTGGAGTTGGGCACATGGTTGATTCCTACAGTAGCTGTGTCCTTTTGGTAAGATCCTTGGCATACTGGGTACTCAGTTGGTAGTAGTGGTTTCTGTTACAATAATTAACCTCTAGCTTCCCAATATAATTCCATACTCTGAGATGCTGGGACATTTGCTGGGACATTACAAGGCTGTGCACTTGTAAAACAAGCCCTTGCCATCTAAATTCTTTACTTCTGACGAGTTATCTGTTTTGGTTTGGTTCATCATCCCCTACCCTGTGTTGATGCTAAATAAATGGTGATCTCAGCACACCTAAGAATATTAGCTATAGCTTTGACCAAGTCCGTCTCACTGTGCTAGACGCTTAAGAATGTCATCTGAATAATTGGCTTCCAAGTACCCCAAGGGAGATGGGTTTTTAGACAAGGAGAGATGTGAGTTGATAATAATTAAAGTTGAGTGGTGGCCACCTGGGGGGATATTACACTCTTTACCCTACTTTTGAAATTTTCCCAGTACAGATTTTAAAAACTACCTATCTTAATTGGCACATTATTTCAGATGAGATCAAGACCTCACCCCTAGCTGCTAATACTCACAGAGGATTGAGGCCAGGTCTATGTGGTGTTGAGGCCAGTGCTCTGTTCCCTACTACTTGAAGTCTGCTTCCCAGACAAGCAGCTTGAAATGTGCTTTTTCAGGTCCCACCTTCAGACCTTTCACATGTCTCCACACAAGGTCTGCACACCTAACTTCCTCTGCTAAGTGGAGGCCTTACCCAGGTCATCTGTCAGGAGATTTCCTTGGAAAAGGTAAACAAAAAGCCTGGCCCTCCCTGGTGGCGCAGCGGGTTAAAGCACAACACTGAGAAGCTAAAGCCACTTCCCCATGAGTTCGATTCCCACCTGACCCGGAGGTGACCACATGGCGTGGCAGACCTCTCCTGACCCGCCCGCTGCTCCCCTCAGCAGTGTACTTCGTAGATCTGCCTGTTCTGCTCCCCACTCTGTCTCTGGTAAAGCGTCTCGCCACCTCTGCACCTCTGATCTGTACCCCAGTCTATATGCATAAATAAATAAATCTTTAAAAAAAAAAAGCCTAAGGGTGAGTTCCTATGTGGCAGCATAAATACATCTTTAAAGAGTATATAATTCACAGTGGTTGTGTGTTTCCTTCCATGGTGTGCCCTTCCCAGTGCCAGACACTTCATGCCTGTGTCACTGAAGCATCATTTGCCCATGTATCAGCTGCTATGAATCACTGCTTGCTTCAGACTGAATTTGATTACTTTTGCTTAAATAAATCCCTTGCTTCTGCTCAGTGAAGATATTGTGAGTTTTTAAATCGTTGAGACTTGACAAAATGGAACATTCTAGGTATCTGTTCCAACCTCCTCCACCATCACCCACCTGCTCACCACCTGTGTATGACTTTCCTGGAAAGATACGCTGTTTCTCCCCTCCACCCTCAGCCTACCTTCTACCATCCCAGCTCTCTCTCTTGGAAAGAAACTCCTATGGAAATCCTTGTGTACATGTAGACAAAAGTTAACCTGTGGAGGCGCCATTTCTTCTTCCACATTGTGGCTGTACCCTGGGGTCTGCAGGCTCCTTTCTGAATCCTTTCTCTACCCATATTACTGTATTTACAGTCCCCTCCCCCAGGACTCCCAGGGAAGGCAGTAGGCTTTATATGAAGTCCACCTGATTCTATTTTTCCCAGCAATAAATATATCCTGGCATTGATTTTTTACTGGCTTCTCTTTCAAATTAAAGTGCCTTATCCCTTTAGGGTTTATACACCCCAGATTTTTTGGTAAACAACTAAATGAGTGACTAAATGAGGGGGGTCTGTTCCCAATCTCCACTGTATCAGCCTTCTTTAAACAGCTGGGTCCTCTGTGCTTTTAAATATTTGGAAATATTTTCTAGCTCCAGATTCCCTTGGAATCTGGTTTTATTTATCAATATCAACCTCAGACCATGCACATATATAATACTATTCGTTAGCTTAGTGAATAGGTTAAGAAGGAAAAACTCCAGGAAAGCAGGCCACGATGGCCGTAACTGGGCTGTGTCCTCAAAAGCATTGCCCACCACCCACCTTTTCCAGGCTGTGTAATAAGTATGTTCTGATGTGTTTTCCAGGGCAGCCTTTGGCAAGGAGTCAGAAGTTCTTATTGGGAACCTGGGTGATAAATTAATCCCTGCCCAAGATGTCCTGCGGGATGTCAGTGACCTCAAAGCCTTGGCCAACATGCAGGAGAGCCTGGAGTGGCTAGCCGGTCGGACCAAGTCAGCGTTCTCCAACTTGTCCTCCTCCCAGAGTGAGTATTGGGGATGTACTGGGGAGGGGGGGGAGGGAAGGGGGAACATGCCTGGGGGCTGCATCTCAAATTGTGTGTGGGGACATGTCCAGGTCATTGGGAGGTCTACTGTGCCATGGGTCTAGATCCTTGTGATTCTCTGTGGGCCACTATACCCCCAAGCAAGATCCTTGTCATCGAGCTTGACATTCAACTTTGGAAACACAAACTTGTATAAGGTTGACTCACTGTGTCACAAGAACAAAAAGCAGTACCTTTTGTCCTCCTTGCAAAAGCTCAAGGGTAGAAACCATGTCAGCATGCAGAGCCAAGCTCACAGCTGATGTTTTCATTTCAATGCTACAAAACTCATGGAGAAAAAAAGTGTCTTAAAGAAGAATAATAGAAGTGATTAAGGTGCCAGAAAATAAAGACAATGAGAAAAACAGATTATTCTGGCAAAGAGATGACTGAGAGAGAACTTAATTACAGACTTTAGGGAAATGAAGGAATTAGATATAAAGCAAAAATGGGAAACCTTGTTCTATAAAGGACCAATGACTCAGAGAAAATAATTTGAAAGTATTAGGGCATGTAAACTTTATTCGGTATCTATAAAATGAATACTTTTAAGAAGCATTCGCTCAAAAGTAGAAGTTGGCAGTTAAAGTAGAGGCAAGTAAAATGTGAGGTGAAGGAATAAAGGAAGTGGCAGATTTGAAGTAGTATGTGAAGAGATGGAAATGGGGAGAGAAAAGCAAAACAACAGCAAAATCAGGACAGGAACAAAATCCTTTTTTGGAAAGAATTAGAAAATTGTTGAAAAGGGTTAGAAAATGGTTAAAAGGGTTAGAAAATTGGTGAAAAGAAAATACATTACTTGGACCGTGAACTTCAGAGTAAGCTAATTATTATCATTGTTTTGTGAAAAGTTGTCAGCCCGAGAGTAGTACAAAGAATACCGTGCTAAGTGGTTTTGAGCCTAGAGATGGAAGAGGTGTGGATGAAATCCACAGGGGTGAATTGTTCCCTAACACACAAGCCCTGAGGCCAAGGTGCAGGATCCTTGGAATGCTTACCACTTAGGGTGTCGGCCAATTATGTGTTCTCCTTAGACTCAGCACCCGGGGAATAACAGTGGAAGGAGTGGCATTTTGAACAAGGTTCTGTATAATCTGCTTTAGAAATCTTTAAATATGCTTTTTTTTTAAAGACCTATTTATGCATACAGAATGAAGTGCACCTTAATTCTGGCCAGAGGTGCAGGGGAATGAGAGGGTTCACCAGAGACAGAGTGGGGCGCATCCATTAAAATACACTGCCGAGGCCCTCCCTGGTGGCGCAGCGGGTTAAAGCACTGCACTAAGAAGCTGAAACCACTTCCGCATGAGTTCGATTCCCGCCTGCCCTGGAGGTGACCACATGGCGTGGCAGACCTCTCCTGACCCGCCCGCTGCTCCCCTCAGCAGTGTACTTCGTTGATCTGCCTGTTCTGCACCCCATTCTGTCTCTGACCTGCACCTCAGTTCTGTATGCACAAATAAATAAATATTTAAAAAAAAAAATACACTGCCGATAGGAGCAGCGTCTGCTGTGCCATGTGGGTCAGCTCCCTGGATAGGGATTAAACTCGTGTAGTAGTGACTGTGATAACTTCGTACTGTTTCTCTTTAACCCATTACACCACCAGGAAGGGCCCTTAAAATATGTCTTGTATTTGTACCTTTGTTTTTATACTCTTTCTTATGTGAAATATTACTTTTTTGTCTAATGGTAAAAGTGTATATTTTGATTGTTAGAAATCAGTAAGAATAGAAAATGTGCCACCTCCTGAGGATATGTTCTAGTAGGCTCTGCACAAGTGGGTGTCCTTGAGTGGCCCTCCACTTTATGATCCTGCCCAGGCGATCACAAGCACCATTTTCTTTCCCAGTCCATCATTCCAGTAACAAAGAGGTAGAAGCTGCTTCTCACACAGAGGGAAAACAGACACCCCTCCCTACCCTGCAGCCAAATCCAGGTTTGTGGGGAGCGGTTCTGAGCTCTCCAAACCAGCTTAGGGAGGGGGGCAAGAGCTAAACTTCCTTTTTGCTAATTGAAAACAGACATCTCTTAAAGGGGACCAGATTCCTCTGTCCCTGGTCTCCTTTTTCTCTTTTAAGTCTCCTTGGGTTGATGAAGGAAAACTAGGAGGGTTTCTCCTGTTCATGGGGCCACCAGTGCCCAGTATTTAATAGTAGAATCTCTCATCTGCAATCCACAGCATCCCCAGATTTTGTCCTGTCCATTCTGAAAGGATCCCACAGGGCAAGATAGGATACCACCTCCAAACCAAGCCAGAGAGTGAGCCACACAGGTTCATCTGGCATCACCTGTTTTCAGAGAGCATCAGATGCTCTCTGAGTTGTGCTCCACTTTGTAATTGCATGTTTAGCTATTGGGTTGATGTCAGTGAGAGCACCCAGTACCGACGATGCCTAATTCATGCCTTTAATCATCTCTGTTATTCTGACAGAGATCTCGTCTACCACCCCCATGAATACTTTGTCTCAGATGCTCACTTCCGTTTTACAATAGAAGCTGTACCCTCACGGCTCCTCTCCGGGTGATTATTCCACTCAATGAGTGATTTAAGTGACTGTCAGTTTTCTGACGATCAGTGCAAAACCCAAGTGAACTGTAATCCCTACTTATGTTGTCTTTGCTGAAACAAAGCATCACACAAACCTGGTTTCTTCTGTTAACCAGCCCTGCTCACCCACACGCCTGTATTCTTTGAATTCCCAGGAGAAATGGCCATTGATGTTTATAATTTGAACAAAGCAGGGGATTCTCTGATAATGGGCTACTTTGATTGCTCCATGTCACTGTGACTCTAGAAAGAGAATAGGGACAGCTTTTTATTTTTCTTTTGAAAAGCGAACCAAATGATTGCCTAAACAAAAGTTTTTTCTGAGTCTGGAGACTACATAGCAGGAAGAAAATGCCAGCCTGCCTTCTAGCTTCATGGGAACAGCAGGATGGAAACAAGTCAAGAAAAGACATTTTAGGTTTATTTTTTGTTCTACATCCTGTTATCTCCTTAGTACAGTAAATGCTTTAGTGTAACTTAGAAGTTATTAATGCAATGGAGTGGAAGAAGTTTGCAGAAACTATTTTTCATAGCCTATCCCATCAAGGTTACAGCTGGATCCTCATCCACATGACACATTTCATGTCCTCCTACAGAGAGTATTGCATTTGTCCAAGAGCTGAGTTGAGCTTTTGTTTATTTTTTCCATCTCTTCTAGCATTTGCCTAAGTGTCCCTGTCTTCAATATACTTAAATGGGTCTCTCCCTCCCAGGTGGGTCCTGACAGCACCAAAAACTCTGCTCTTACCTTCATCCTACCAAGGTCCATGGTTCCCACCCCACTTCTTGTGGTTTCCCCCCCCCTGGCCCGCACTTCCTTTTCCTATTTCATTGAAGATTCTTTCCATGGAAACTCACAGACTAATTAAAGAAAAAAGAATGCATTCATTTCATAGAACTGGTAAATTGAAAGACTTCAGGTGTGGCTGGATTCAAGGTCCGCAAGATCACATCCTGCCATAGGTATGCCTGCATACCTGTTGTTTCTCTTTATTGTTTTCCATCTCAGGTAAGTGTTTTCTCTATGGCAGCAACATTGGCGACAGGCAGCACTAAGATTATTTGATCCCAGGCCAAAAGAGCATTTTTTTCCAAGAGCTTCAGAAACAGTTGAAGAGAGAATTTGGATTGGCCCAGTTTGACCTTCTTCCCTGGGTCTCTTCTGGTTTTCTCTGACTGTGTGTACCTGGTTTTCTGACTCTTTTTCTCTACCCACAATTTAGTCTTTCTCTTCCATTCCCACTTCTAGAATTCTTTTCTCTCTTTTTTTTTTTTTTTTTACTCAGGATCTATTTTAACTGATAGGCTTGCAGCATGAGAAAGTTGAGCAGAACCACAGGTTCTGATTTCAGAATCTAGATCAATATATATCTCCCCCTATACACCCCTATTGATGAGTTCCAAACTTGTAGTAAAGGCACAGAGCAATTTCTATCTTTTCTAGAAACAGTATCTACTGTTTGTAAGAATCTGAAGTAAAGACTCTGAGGTTAGTTGTTATGGTAAGAATACTTTCGGCCAAATGTGACCTACATAAAAATTATTACAGTGTACTCAATTTGAACATTAATGATTTTACTTTGTATTTTCGCCTTTTGTCTCAAGGATGTGTTGCCTTTAAAAATAGACGACATAGAATTGAAAGGGGAGCGCAAGGGCTTATTTTGTCTGCTTTTGCTTTCTCCTGGGGTCCTCTTCTCTGCTTTAGATTCTGTAAAAAATCTCTAGGATTAGAGATTTTAAAACTTCCTTGATTATAGATTCTGCTCCTTAAGCAACCTCACTATATAGGAGGTCAAATCTTTTTTAAGTCCCTTTGCTTCAGTTTAAACCTCTTTCGTCTGTGCTATTTTTCAGAAATTAAATGTTGAATATTACAACATGCCTGGATAATAAAAAGTCATAACCTGATCTTTTTCAGTCTGAAAAAAAACACAAAGTTAAAAGTTCTTGAACTTTTGAGGACAAATCTCATGATGTCCTGGAATTGGTATTGGCATTCCAGTAATAATTATACAATTATTTATATTACTTGTTCTCTGTTGTGGCAAGAAATACATAATAGAAAAGATATCATCTTAGCTATTTTTAATTGTACACTGTAGTAGAATTTTTGAAATATTTGTATTTGTGCATACAAGAATGGAGGTGTGGGGGGTGAGAAGAGTCACCAGAGACAGAGTGGGGAGCAGAACAGGCAGATTGACTGAAATACACTGTGGAGGGGTGCAGCGGGGAGACAGGAGAGGTCTGCTGCACCATGTGGGGCAGCTCCCTGGCCGGGGATCGATCTCTGGCAGTAGCTGTGACAGTACTGAGACTTACCCCCTAGGCTACCAGGAAGGCCCTTCCTTGCATAATCTTTATCCATCTATCAGTGGTCACTCAG